TTTAATCCATATCTGCTCTTTTCCGTCCATAGAAACTACAATGGAACCTCTACTTAAGAACTTAATCCATTTTGGAATGGTGTTCTTAAGTTGAAACGTTCTTAAGTTGAAGCAAAATTTCCCATAGGAATGGACTGAAAACCAATTAATCCGTTCTGGCTGTTTTTTTGTTATGTAGAGGTGCGTTCGTACATTGAGGCATTAGTTCCCATAGGAACTAATGCAAAGCTGGTTAATACGTACTCTACCACTAGGGGGAGAATTTTTTTTTAACCTAAGATGACCTAAGGTTAAAAAAAGAGCAGGAAAGGTTTTTTTTTTCCTGTTCTTATCTTGGATTTCTGTTCTCAAGTAGAAGCAAAATTTAGCAAATGGAGCTGTTCTTAAGTTGGATTGTTCTTAAGTAGAGACGTTCTTAAGTAGAGACCCCACTGTATATTAAATGCTGAATGTTCTTCAGCCTGTGAGCTACACTGCTGTGGTCAAATGCTGATGAGAGGGGCATGCCATCAGCAAGTGGGACCCAAACCAGAGTAGGAGTGATAAGAGTTGGCAATGGGGCAATGGTTAAGGCCATCTTCCTCCTTCCTCTCTTTTATCCCCAGGGCACAGCACAAGTAACAGTGAAAAAAAGGTGGTGGAGGAGAACTGAGCAGCAGTGCTTTACAGCCCCCTCCAATTCTAAGCTGTTCCCCCCTGATTCATGCTCTTTTTTTTAGTTAATGGTTTGTTTCTGCCCGTCTCTAGTTTCAACTTTCCATCTCTATTACCAGGCTGTTCAGCTACTAGAAGAGAGAGCTCTTTTTTCAGGAATCTAAAATTCAAAACATTCCAATCACCTTGATGTGGCAACTGTTTTTCCTTGTCCTTTCCCTCTCCTGACAACAAATGTGGGGTGGGAGTAAACAACCAGATGGTCTGATTGTGTATTCTGCCCTCCCTCCCTTTCTTATCTGATTGACATCATTTGGAAACTTTCAGATGCTACTTCCAGGTGCCAGGGTGAGGCTTCTGTTGTGGGTGGTAGGGCTTGGATAGTCCTCAAGATGGATGCTGCTGTGTTGAAAATTCCATCCATCCATCCATCCATCCATCCATCCATCCATCCATCCATCCATCCATCCATCCATCCATCCATCCATCCATCCATCCATCCATCCATCCATCCATCCATCTATCCAATCTCTCTCAGACTGTACAAGTATAGCCTAACCAGCAAATAGGAAAAAAAAGTGAGGAATACAGACAGCACACAAATTCTTATTGAAAAACAAATCCTTAGAGAGGGACTTCAAGAGTGATAGATGGGGAAATGTTTGTTACACACAGGTACATGAGTATGCAAGTGTGGCCCTATTCAGCTGTTATAAACTGTGAACAGCAGACATGCAAGATAGAGATTGCACTTCCCTCACCCATGTACATGTGTTGAATGCCAAGTGAATACAAGAGCTTCTGTTGTTTGTAGAGCTTACTTACTTTATGGGAGAATAAAGCATGTGGAGAGCCCCATGAGGTTGTCCCATTCAGACTCAACAGAACCAAGAATGGAGGAGGTTGCAGTACAGCTCCTCCTCCTATCTTTACTATAAATGTAAAGGTTCCCCTTGACATTTAGTCCAGTCATGTCTGACTCTAGGGGATGGTGCTTATCCCCGTTTTCCAAGCCATAGAGCCAGCTTTTGTCTGTAGACAGTTTCCGTGATCACGCTGCCAGCGCGACTAGACACAGAATGCTGTTACCTTCCCACCATGGTGATACCTATTTATCTACTCACATTTTTACATGCTTTTGAACTGCTAGGTTGGCAGGAGCTGGAACAAGTGTAAATGCATGCAAATGTTGCTACATAGCACATTACTTTGTTAAATATTCTGCAACCACATATTAAACCCCTCAGTTTGGCAAATCAGAGCTGTACCACAGGATTTTCAAATTTTAATTTAATTTTTTTTTAAAAAAGTTTTCGCAGTTTCTTCCTGTTGCATGATAACTTCTAAAGCTCTATTGGAATACCATTGTAGGTCTGGTGGAGAAAGCCACACAGATTACAGGCAGGGTTACAGCCACTGGAGATTACACTGGTATGTGGCTACTAGACATTTTCCTGCATGTATGAGCAGCATACTGTGAAGAATCTGCATGGTAGAGAGGATAGTTAGGTGGAGAATATAGTTTCTTTTTTATGAGGCATGTTTCCAAGACAAACCAGTGAAGAGATTTCCCACGGAAGTATATTTTGGCCTTGTCAGAATCTTCTCCCATAGGGACCTGTCCCTTTCTGCCAATGTCTTCTCATAAGGCTAGTCATGCAAGGGAGAAGATGAGTAACAGAAAAACAAGACTGTATTTACTGAAATGAGAATGAGGCCTCGGGTTTCACACAAGGGTCCCAGTACTCTGAAATCCCAGTAGAATTCTTTGTTGACACTCACACTCTCGCAATCTTTCATTGCAGATCTCAGAATATTCATGCTTCATCTTGCCAGGTCTGCTTCCTTTCCCTCAGGACCCCAACTGTACTGCTCTAGGGCTTACCTCTCAGTGGGATTTATTATTGTTCCTGTAGTTTTTTTTCCCTGTTGTGCATAAGCCTTCTGAGTTTAATGAGACATAGGACCCATGCACATGAAACCTATCTCCAAGAAGTGAGGACTTTATCGTGCAGCAAAATCAGTGCAGGATAGGTCAGAAAATAAATGGAAAGTTTATTTCAACTTTTCAAACATGCATTACACGCACACATTCAAGGGGTGCAGAGGTGGGAAAGTTTGGAATGTCTGATCTATGTTCTGTTTTTGCTTCATGGCTGGAGCTAAACTCCAGGTTTAATGGTGTAGGTTGGCTTCAGGTCTTGATGAGAATAAGGTTAACTTCAATAAATATTTCACTGTGTAGCATGCTGTAGAATCAGCCCTCGTAGATAAAAAACACTTAGATAATGTTTTGAAAAATGAATGAATCTCAGTTGCATAGGGCCTTTATTTGATCTAAAGGATTTCTGTTGTAATTATAAAATATTTTTGTTTAGCAGTTAGTTAAAAGATTATTGTAACACATCCAAGCGCAAATATATGACAAAAAAATGCAGAGAGATTTAGAACCAGGTCAGAAATTACACTAGTTTAGAATAAGACTTAGCTAATAATCAACCCACTTCCTTCTAGAGATGAAAAAAGTTACTTTTCTAGCTACCCCCGAAGGATTGTGGAATTTATAATCTACAATTCCCTCTGTGCAGAATACATCAAAGTGATGGTTCTTTACTGGAGGACACCAGTGGCGAGAGAAGGTCCTCAATAAATCTCTACCACTCCTGACAAAGCACTGTGACATAAATGTCCCTACCAATATTTGTGCTTTCTTAGCTGGACAGTGCTGAATCCAACCGGAGGAAGAGTTATAACCTCCTGTGCACCCTTTTATATACATGGATGGCATCCAAGAAGGCATTTCTAGAGGGCTGGCGTGTCAATCTGTAGCCTGTTGCAGCAAAACCAACAAAGAGTCTTGGAGCACTTTGAAAACAAATGAAATGGTTTGGTCTTTAAGGTGCTTTAGACTCTTTGTTGGTTTTGACCCAAGAAGATAATTTGTACATGGAAGTTTGAGACAAACGATTTAAAACAGACACTTGAGTAAGAATTTTTTGAACTTATAAGCCCTGAAACAGTATTCAAAGAGACCCAGGTACTTCTCATGGCACTGTCTCTAATGAGCCTAGGAATTACAGCTTTCTGTCGAGAAGAAATATTGGCACTGCTATTCTAGCCTCCATTTGTTCATGGGAACCTTTTAGCAAAGCTTCCAAATTAAATGCTGGGGTCCAAGATGCAATTACCCTGTGATTAAAGAGCAGCAGTACAGTACGGCTCCTTCCACCTGCCTAGCCAAAGCAAAGTGTTCTATTAAGAGTGCCAATCTCAAAAAAAAATAATTCTGGCATTTGTGAACAAAAGCCAGCATGATTAAGAGCAAGAACCACAGTTGTATCATTTCAAAGGGAGAGGCTCAGTTTCAATTGGCTGTTGCACACTGGGATTGCCAGAGTCAATATAGAAACAGCTCCTCTGTGTTTAATACTTTGTAGAAGGCAAAATATAAGCAGTTCACCCTCTCTTTTTTCAGTGCATCACTATATGAAAAGCAGAGTCCTATCCTGTGTTGAGCCTGACACAGCTGGTGAAATGGGAGGAGGGCTGAAGAACACATATGTATGGGTATATATAGGGCTGGGGAGCTGTGTTTGTACTTTGCTAGCTGATAAACCAAGGTCAGGGAATGCTTGGCACTTGGCATATTTTCGAAAACCATTCCTTCCATCTTATTGGCCCTCCTGGCTGGAGTTTCTGGGCATGAAGTCCAAGGTATCTGGACAGCCAAAAGTCCACCACTCTTGATATAAGCCCTACTCAAATTATGAAAGTTGGAAATAATCAACTTTCTCCTCAGCTATATCTATCCATAAGTAATAAAAGCTTTTACGCACATTAGCAAATTGCTAGAGCATGTTAGGATTTCCTTCCCTCAGTCTTCTTGTTGCTCTGCACAACATGGAATACTTGTACAGGTGTATTTGTCCAATGCATGCTGCATACTGATTAAAGCATAGTTTTTCATCATAAATCTTGAAATTTTAAAAGCAGGTTCTAAGCTACAATAATGCAAGTGTGGGGAATGTATTGGTCTCCAGATATTGTCAGACTGCAATTTCCAGCATTCCCCTGGTTGGGGCCAATGGAACTTGTATTCCAATAACATCTGGACAGCCACACTTTGCCCATTGCTGCAGTAAGGTAACAAGAATGTTTTCAAATGATTTGTGCTTTTTGTTTCCATTTTCCCATTAGTTTTATTTAAAAGGTCAATTTTTAGTTTAACCATTTCTTAGAATTCTATTCTTGGTCCTTTTATTTAACTATTCATTTCAAGCTTAAAGCAAACTTTAGATGTCATTATATTGTATTATGGACTGTAATAATACTTGGGTTTGTGTACATATATTTCTAATGAGTGTGTTATGTACATTCTGTATGGTACCAGATGGAAAATTAGTTTGTTGTGGGTTAAAGGGAGGTGCACTACAATTTGGCCTTCATTCAGGTCTCCTTTGGAGTTTTAAACCTGTGGACCAGACTTCCATTCCATTGTTCTTTAGTGGAGTTCTTCTTTAAATGTTCTGTTGGTGAAAGGAAGTAGGTTGTTCATGGCCAATTCTCTTCTCCTTCTTGAATTCCTAGCATTACTTCCCCCACTATTTTGGAAGAGCTACCCAATACTACAGAAAGGTCAACAGGAACTGCAGGAAAAGGGGAAACTGAAAAAGATCAATTTCACTAGTAGAAATGGGAAAAGTCTTTTGCCCTCAAAAGCAAATACTAGATGTAACCAATGGATTAGTAGTTATTAATCATATTTTGTGATTAAGTATCAGTATTGAATTGTTCTGCGTGAAAATTTTAAAGATCTTTTCCCTGAAATTAACACATAAAGATTCATGTTACATGTAATGCCAAAGCATGAGTGTACCTCATTTCTATTTCTTCAAGTACATTCAAATGTTTAAACTAAAATGTATGCTTGCTGTCTAAATGATGGGTAAAAACTATAATTTGAATGCAATTTCAAAAAAATGAGATAAAGACAAATGATACTTTGTCAGTTTGAGATGCAACAGCAAGCTATGACGAGAAAGAAGAGAAGTTGCTCTAACCAAGGTTTCAAAATGTTATCATAGTATTCAGCCGCTTTTTCCAGTAAATACAAAATTACTTTCAATATCTACTTATTCATAATAGTACTCTGCTAATATCTTGTTAGAATACCTGTTGTCTTAATACACAAAAGATCAAATCCCAGTTCTGATTCTAATATTACCAAAATCTGTTAATTGAATATATGATTAATCTGCTTTCTTTTGTCTTGCAAATTCAAACACAGATCATTATTTATTGCTTCCTTTACTGTATTAGTTATATCAGTTTGTTATCACTGAAAACGTAATAGTGATAGGTAACAGGGATGAAGTTTTAAATTTGTCCCACATCTATAAAGATAAAGGGTTATTCCTGTTGAACTCAAGGGCACTTATTTTTTAATACACCTGCAGAACTACACTGTAGTGATTTTCTTAATCCCTACGATAGGAATATAATATGTGTGGAACATATCATTTGCAGTTATCCTGTGAAAGGCAGAGCAAACTATGTCTGGAGACACACTATATTTAAGCTTATTTGCCACTTTTGCCACATATAATTTTCACAGAAGCAGTACTTATCTTCAGCAAATGGGCCCAAATCCTTTTTTAACAAAATGGTACACCCACATAAATTTGCCAGGCATTACACCAATGCAAGAGGTAATTATATAATATGATTGTGAAATTGGTCACACAATTCTCATTCCAGCCATTGTGCATTGCACCAGCAGAAGTGTTTTGCAGATTGCACTCCTGCCTCAACATTCTTGTAACACCGCAGGCATAACATCAAGTTACAACCATGGAGTTACCCAACAGGATTTCGGCCATTGACTTAGAAGTCAGCCTACTGTGTTCTGTGGCATTAATTCCCAGGCAAATGTGTTTATCTACAATAAAACATCTGTTGCTTGCTTGTATTTTTTTAGTGGCCTAAAAAAGTTATCATCTGCTCTTGCATTTATATTGTTTTGGAGACTTTTTCTTATTTTTCCCCTGATCTATAATATGTAGTCCTGTGCCTGTTTACTTTGGACAGGAATGAGTGAAAAGACATGCATAGGACTACATTGTAAGGGCCAAAACCTGTGTCCAATTACCTGGGAATAAAGGCCACAGAATGTGAAAATACAGAGGTTGAGAGTTTGATTCCCCACTGTGCCTCCATCCTGTGTGGCCTTGGACAAGTTGCACAGTCCCAGGAAAATCTCAGAAGAAGGGAATAGTAAACTACCTCTGACTATTCTTTACCTAGAAAAACCTTTAATTGACTTAATGGCACGTGATTATTATTAAAGAGCAAAGGGGTTTATTGCAGTTGTTAATTAGATGTATTCAAAGGTTTCCTGAAGCCGTATTGCTGACCTTGATATTGGTTAAAAGTAAATGCATGTTTCAATGGACCTCTATACTAAGTTGATTAAATGGTCCTCCGTGAAGTGAGTCAATACATGTTTTTGAAGCTATGCCATATCGGAGATTGGCAAATACAGTATTTATCTTCTGAGTACTGTATTTCTAGTATGCACATGGTGAAATAAAATGAATAAATAATAAATAAACAAGGTGGCAAAGTGGACACATGCTTTTATGCCTGTGCAACAGGCAAAACAAAAGAAAAAAAGGATTGAGGGAAAACAGTATCTACTTTCAAATATGCTTTGAAGATGGTGTTACTGGAATGTTTTGCCTGAAAATTATTTTAATAAAGCCCAAGCCTGTAGAATTGTCTAATGGGATAACATATTGACTTTAAGATTTCAAAGTCATATGGAAAATGAACAGCAGGGTAAAATTCGCTCCGACAGGAAGCCAGACTAGCCCCATTTTTGCTGACATTCCACAAGTAGGTGATGAACTTTTTCTTCAGGCCGGGTTTTCCTTAGTGACTAACTGTCTAGGAGACCATAAACAGGATGGTTTATATTTTGTTACTTCTAAATCTGTTTTTAGTAATGCTTTTACCTAACATTTCTAGTATAATGTTATTAAGTCTTATAAAATATTTGAATAATTTAGCTTTTAATATTGTGTTTTTAATTATATAAGCCACCTTGGCTCCTTTTTTAGAAGAAGGGTGGGATATAAAGAAACAAACAAACAAAAACAAACCACACTTTGAAATGCCCTGATTTTTATTAGAAAATTAATAAAATATTAAAGCTACCATCCTATGTGTGAGACCTAGAACTGAAGATACCAGTTAACTTGAGTTGAACATTATATTCTACTTACAACAAATGAGAGTGATGTGGAGTAAATTGCAGCTGTCTAGTTTAGAGGAAAAGTTACATAATATTGCAGTCCTTGCTTTGGAGATGTAGCTATTGTTATAAACTTTTTATAGTGTGATTAACTTTTTTATAGTTGGATTGTTTTATCTTAAAGCCATAATGTTAATATAATGCTCACATGCTATATTTAAGAAGATAATGGTAGAATCTGCATGTGGTGTTCATTTATGTCAATGTTCATGTCTGGCCGTAGGTGACCAATACATCTCTCTAGCAAACTTCTAGTGTCCCCCCTCCTCCCCGGTCATTATTTCTACACCAGATATCATATCAGGTCAAGATGTTGTTAATGCTTGTAAAGATGGAAATATCTCATGCTCATATGAAGTTAAACAAATGTGTGTTTTGGAGTATAAAGTTTTTTCTGGTCTAAATGTTTTATTTTCTCTTTATTCAATGTTTTAGACAAAAATACATGGGCTTGGATTTGTAAAAATACACACACCATGGAATGTATTATGTCGGGAAGCAGAATTTATGAAGCTGAAGATGCCCACAAAAAAGGTTAGTTTTCCATCTTTAATCAGAGTTAATAATTTTAATTACATGCCATCAGATTGGTTGCAACTCTTGCCAGTGTCTCCTCTGTAAAAAAGTAACTCTGAAGTGGTTTACCATTCCCATCTTCTCTAGGCTCCTTCTTTCCTTGAGAGGCACAAGGGGGCATTGAATTCCGAACCACTGGCTGTGCAATCAGATACCCAAAGCACTGAGCTATCCAGCCAGTTTTATTCAAGATGGGCCATATACTGTAAAATATTTAGATTTTACAAATTTCAAAATGTGTTTGAAGCAGAATAATTAACTAACTTTATCACAATTTGCAGTACAATTTGTAAAAGAACACTACCGGCTTTAAGCATGAGCATCCTTGCCTTGCACCACAGTGTGCCTTGATAGGAATGTAGAGGTTTTGGCTAGTGTTTCATTGATTTTATATATAGCCATTTTTAATGCATCTTCCCATGAAATCTTCCCCAGGTGGTTTACTCATCTGACACAGCTGCACTTTTTCCCCCCTGTTACTTCTTCCTGGCCTGCCTCTGTACAAATGGGTCTCCCACTGTCTTTAAACTGACAGACTGATAACATAGCATATTCTATGGTATACCCAAACATAGAGGCTGGTCAGTTAATTTTAAGAAGAAAAATATGATGAAGTCATCCCTAACTCAATAGGATTACTCTAAGGGCCACTACTCAATTATGGGTGGCTTCAGCAAGGTGAATGAATGCAAGACAAGGAATACAAGGGGCAATTCATTAACTAGTGGCAATGAACAGTTGTGATTTACACTACTGCAGTTGCACCAGCATAAGGAACCAATAGAATTCTGTCCACTGAGTCTGCATCCAGCCTAATGTGAATAATGTTGTTTCACTACCAATACTGGATTTTCTGTCAACTTAATGGAGCCCTTGATGTGGTGGTATAATTATATTAGAGGCCTTCTAATTTACAGCATACCAACCCAACAGCCTCTCATGCTGCAGAATGTTTTTAGTGGCAGTATGGGAAGTAGGAAAGACTGAGAGAAGGGGTTCTTATCTGCTCATACATTTCAGGGATTTTCAAGTGCTGTGTAAAGATCAGTACAATGGGCTCTGTTTCTATCAGTCCAGTATTCCCTCTTGCAACCTTCACCTTTATGCCAAGATCATGACTAGACATCTATAGGCTATATAAAAGCTGATATTTCTTTAGGCATGTGAGTAGTTCAGTATCTAGTTCCAGTAATAGCCAAGCATAAAGGGGATTAGTAGGATCCAGTCCCCAATTTCCAATGAATATTTGAATTATCATTATAAAAAAGATAGCAACACTGTCAGTGGAAGGAAGATTATATGATGAATGTGATGCAATATGATTATATGATGAATGTGATACCGAGCTGTATCTGTACCTGTTCAGGGTACAAAACTGAGAAAGGGATCAATATTTAATGACACACTAAGTGCAGAACACAGACTCTCCAGGGAAATGTCTCTAATGGAACAAGAGACAGCCTAAGAGGGCAAAGTAATTTACTGCAAGTAAAACTAAAATTAAACTTTGGATTTCAATTTTGGATTATTAGCCAATTCAGAACTATTTTTCATGTTACTTATTTTAACTATGTTTCCAACTTTTTAAATTAGCCCATCCATTATGTTTAAGGATGTTGAATTATGAAGGTATAGATTTTGAAGGGATCTGATCTTGTCCAGTCTTTTGCATTGGTGTAAGGCTTTGTCCAAAAATAGATAGTAGCATGGTCAAAAGCAGAAAAGACAAGGGTGTTACATGTATAATCACTGTGATATACAGCACTTCGTGTAAGTTCTATAATCAATATACATTAATTGCACAATTACTTTTTGGGCATACTTTTATCCCCTACAGTATAATGTACAAAACTCATGCTAGTTCAGGTAGTAATGTAGAGCAGTAAGGAAGCATTCATGCATGGAAACCATATTCTTGTGTGTTGAATTCTCATCCAGATACTTCTCTGATTTGTGAACTGTCTATGTATTGTCCATATACATGCAAGTACTGATGTCCCAAAGAGATCCTGTGCCAGAGGTCTGTGTTTTACATTTGTGTTAACAATGGCACACATCACATTCTGGTTTTGGTCAATAAACCCTGATAATTTATAATACTGGCATGTATTACATCACATTCCACATTCATTGGTCACACTTTATGTCATTGTTATTGGTTCTGTTTGTGTGACCTGCCACAGCGGTCTGGAGGTTGCATTTGCACTGTATTTATTCAATTTAGCACTCACGATTCTGAAAGCTGTTTACTTGCTTCAGCCAAAACTGTTTTTTTCAGCACTGAATATTGGCAACCTACTTTTCTTTATATGCATTTATTTGGTACTGAGTCACAGAATCATAAAATCATAGAATTGTGAAGCTGGAAAGGGCCTATAAGGCCATCAAGTCAAACCCTCTGCTTGATGCAGGAATACAAATCAAAGGAAATCTGCCAGGTGGTTGTCTAAGTTTCTCTTGAATGCCTCCATTGTTGGAGCACTCATCACCTCTCAGGGTAGTTGATTCTACTGTCGTACTGCTTTAACAATTAGGAAGTTTTCCCTGATAATCAACTGAAATCTGGCTGGTCTGAACAGATGGTTCATCTCGCCAAGAATTTTGACTAGTGGCAACTCTCTACTGTACCAAAAACAGGACTTTTCCTGTAGTATATGAGACTGAGGAATGAATATGGAACCGTCAGCATGCAAAAAGCTGTCACTTTTTAGCAGTATCAACTGCCCCCTCTCTTTTTTTGTAGTCTTTGTTTTTGTTTTGTTTTATTCCTTAAAACTTTGGCATGTTTCATGAGTGACTTGGAAGAAATAAACGTTTGTTTTTTGTTCCACAGATGTATCAAATTCATCAACCACATGGCCTTTTGAAAAAAATTAATTCTGTAATTCAAAAAATAACAGAGCCTATCCAGCCTAAAGTGGCAGAACACAAGCAACAGACAGTGAAACGCCTCTCTTACCCTTTCTCCAGGGAGAAACAACACTTGTAAGTCAAAGTTCGTCATCTTTATTTAATATCACGTGCAATGGAATTTGCCTCTGGGAATACCACCAGAGGCTAAACCATGACACTATTAATAGAAATATGTAGACCAGTCTTTTGATTCAACTTGCACTAAAATTATCAAATTTTCCAAATAAACAGGATCTACTTAGAAATGGATTCTGTCCTAATGCTTTCCCCTAGGGACCTACATCCCAATGCTACACATTTTTATTTGTCAAAAAGTCCCACTGAGTTCAGTGGGGATTACTTTCTGGTAAGTGAATATAGGTGTAAGAGTGAACTCCAATGTATTTGGAAATAAGCTCCATTGAACTCAGTCAGGTTTATTTTTGAATAGATATTCAGACTTGTTTAATAAAATTAAAACCTATTTGTGCTTCCCCAAAGTTGATCTAATCAAAAGAGACATGTTTAACTCGTGTAGCTATTAGTTTCCTAATCCAAACAGAATCTAAAAACAATTAGCTTTTATACCTCTTCTTCACATCCCAAATAAAATGTGATTTTATTCTGTGATTCACTCTTTACACAACCTGTTCGCTACAAGCGAACAACAGTGTGAGTTCAGGATTGGTGAGGGGTGGATACAGCCTGCTACATGTTCAGTTTTTAAAGGAACCAAGCCTGAAAGAGAAAGAATAGGCTCTGGGTACGTGGTAAGATTCAAAAAGAAAGACCACCATACCACTGCCAGGTATACTAAATCAAAAGAAAGACTACAGTGGTCTGTTTTGATCAGCATATACTGGAGCCAATACCATACATTTCTGTGGTCACAGAAACTGAGGGCAAAAATATAGTTTGGAAGAAGAGGATTAAAACTGGAAGGCTGAGAAATCAGATCATGTGTAGGTCTTGAAAATCAATCACAAAATGCAGCATGCTAATTTGTAAATTACAAGTGGAAAGAGAAGTTAGCCCTGTGTGTTCAAACACAGCCGCTCAGAGTGGTCTATTTGATCAGATGGGCGGGATACAAATCAAATCAAATCAAATCAAATCAAATAAATAAATAAATAAATAAATAAATAAATAAATAAATAAATAAATAAATAAATACTGTTATTATTTTATGAATTGCTGTTAGCCGCCCAGAGTAGACTTCGGTCTAGATCAGTGGGATATAAATAAATAAATAAATAAATAAATAAACAAACAAACAAACAAACAAACAAACAATACAGGAATTCAGTCTTCTACTCATGGATTATCCATAACCAAGTGGGCATTGGAACCTCAGTCTCCTCCAAATTCTAGTCCATCACTCTATTCAATGTACCACTCTGGGTACAGAGCAATAAAAATGGTATACACAAACTGAGAAACACCAAAATTTGTGGATTCTTTTTCCTTTGACACCAATAAAAGATTGAAATTTAGTTTGGTAGCAAAAGGCTTTGGAGTTCTAATGCTTCTGTAGAAAATGGTTGCTGTCTAAAAATTATTATAGTCAAAATCAAATAGGGAAGACTTACATTTTTTAAAAAAGCCTGTCTTGAAATCCATATTGCTAACCATTGATTCGTTTTTTTCATTTTGAATGTTTTAACAGATTTGACCTCTCTGACAGAGATTCCTTTTTTGACAGTAAAACCAGGAGTACCATAGTAGGTATCACAATGTAATAAATACTTCTGTTACAAAGATAACTAAGAAACACTATGTAATGAAGTTACTTTTTTACAGTAATATGGTATTGCTGGTGGGGATGACGATGTTATCCTGTTGTTCTCCATGTGAACTAACAATTCACATAAAAACATAATTAAACATTTATATCTGTTACTCCTGCTACTGCTGCTACTACTGTTACCATTACTTCCTTAATAAATATCACATTTCCATTTTTTGCTAAAAAGAAAAATTTGAAATCTGTGCTCTTATTTATACTTATCTTGAAGTAAAGCCACTGAATTTGGTGAAGATTAGTCCTAATGTGTGCATTATGTCTGCCAAAAGCACTTTTTCTCTGAGGTTTTATTTTGCAAGATAGTAACGTAAGAGAAGATGGTACATTTCTGAATAGTTTCCATGGCATAAGAATGCAGCTACAGGAGCCTAATTATATGTCTTCTATTTTTTTTTTCGCACAGCAGCATTATGCATTCAAAAGACAAACATAGTCCCAAGGGTATTATTACTGTACATGTTTGCAAAAAAACAAAAAAAAAATGAAGGAAAATTGGAAAGGCAATAAGCAAACTTTGAACATATATTTTGCCTTAGAGGTAGAATACAGAGCTCTGAGTGTTATTTTAAAAGACAAATTACCTATTACTTGTATTACCTATTACTTGTTCTTTGTTTTGTTCTCCAAAGTAATGAGCTAATTCAGCTTGTTCATTTTTAAAACAGACTTCAGTTTATTTAGTATTGTTATCTATTAAAAATACAAAATGACCTTAAACGGCTTGGGCCCTGGATACCTGAAGGATTGCCTCCTTCCATATGAACCTACCCGGCAGTTAAGATCTAGCCAGGGGGCCCTTTTGATAGAGGCGTCCCTCAAAGAGGTAAGAGGGATGGCTTGTAGACAAAGGGCCTTTTCGGCAGCTGCGCCCAGACTATGGAACACCCTCCCAACTGAGATTCATCTGGCGCCGACGTTGATGACATTTCGGTGCCAGGTCAAAACCTTCCTGTTCCAGAAGGCTTTTAATTGAAATAATATTAGCTGTGGGTCCGATGGCAATTTTATATATATTTTAATTGTATTTTAATTGTTATGCATTTTTATTGTATTTTAAATGTTGTAAGCCGCCCAGAGACCTTTGGGTAATGTGGGCGGCATATAAATTAAATAAAAAAAATTTCCCAGTAGATTCTCCAAAGCAATTTTACATATATAATCAATATATATATTATTTTCAAAAGATAAGGAGTTGCGACATGTGGGTTAATTGTTTATCTTGAGAGTGGCAAGAGACACGTAATTATTCAATGTTTTTCATTTATATTGGAATGGCTAATTATGGCTTATTATGATGTAGCATAATAGGTAAATAATCTAAGACATCAAAAACGTAAACACAAAAAACAATACCTATCTATGGTTAATAATCCAGTTTATCCTATAAAAAGATGGATACAAATCTTGGTGGACGGGGAGAGACAGAAGAAAAATGCGATTACTTGATCTTCTGTAGTTGTAGCCTTCTACATACAAGTTCATCTGTAACTGGGACCTGTGTAGAGGTTTAACTAGAAGATGCTACCAAAGTGAATCTGGTAAATGTCCTGCAAGAAGAATATACAAGCATTGTAGATAGCAAAGCTCTCTCAACTTGTGTTTTACTGCCTAGAAGCAAACTGATCAACTTCCTCCCAAATTAAAATATAGTTTGGCAATGCAGTTTTATCTTGTGAATAAGCCATTGCCTTTCCAGTTTAGCACATCCCCAGATACTCTTCCTTCTAGTCAATCAATTTTCTTTAAAGCAATTTATCCACATGGCTCAACTCCAACTCCTCAGTTCCTTTTATTTGGCATGACATTTCCCAGGCATGACTTCTATGCTTTTAAAAACCATGCCAAGTGTCAGAGACAGAATGGAAGACCACCCTCTTTTCTCCATTCAACTTCTTGCTATAGCTTCCAGAGCATCACCAACAGCCAAACTAGCTAGGCATGTGGGACTGAAGAGGTTTGTAATACTGATGGTGGGATGTTGGTGAGAAGGAGGAGTTTGGAGTTGGGCTGAAGGAGGTGGGGTTAAAATTTATATAGTGAACAAGAACTGGGGATTGTCCCAATGCTCACCTTATATTTGGAGTGAACATTGTGAGACTTAAATAGAGATAGGCATGAACTGCTGGTTCAGCAGTCTGTGCCAGTTCATTTACTGACCCAACAAGTGTTCAGCAGTTCCCTGTACTGCCTCCTCTGGAGGGCACCCACTCAAAAGCAGCACCTAGAGGAGGTGGGGCATAGAAATCAGGGTGCTGCATCTAAGTGGATGCAAGTTGGCAGAGATGGGGCTAGGAACTGCCAAATACCTATTCAGCCAGTAGAAAAAACTGGCACAACATGCTGAACGGGCAGCTCATGCCCATCTCTAGTCTTTATATTTATATTATGGAAGCATTATATTATGGAAATAGGCGTAATAGCAACATATACAGAGGCCACTTCCTAGTCTGAATCATACTCATTTTGATTTGTGGAGGTACAATAGCAATGCAGAATGTTTATAGATGAGAAAGAATATCATCTGTTTTAAGGAAAAGAATGCAGATTAGTATTCTAGGAATTCTGCACAAAACCCCTAATTTTGCAACCTAAAATAATTGCAATTGTTAATTTCTATATTGACTTTCAATATGCTGTTCAAATGCTTTAATTTAATTTGATTCGTATTAAATTAAATCGAATTGCAGATTACAATGAATATCTTGGTCCTTTCAAAAGATGCCATGTAGTCCGGTATTTATAAATATTTCTCACCTGTAGGTTTATGAAATATTGAAAAGGACTACATGCACCAAAGCCAAATACAGCATGGGTAAGAAAGTTTATTTAGATTTGAGATCAGCATCGTTTCCTAATTCCAAAATGTTTCCAACTGTACTTGAAGAGAGACTGTGTTTTTTGATAATATACCTTATGTGTTATGTGTTATGTGTTGTCATGTCAGTTTCAAATTATGGCAACCCTAACTGGGTTTTTAAGGTTTGTGAGATATCATTGGTTTTATCATTGTCAGTTGACAGTAAGTTTCCATGACTGAATGAAGGTTTGAATCCAGGTCTCCTGAATCTTAGTCACGTGCTGTATCCATTACACCACACTGGCTGTCACCCAATGATATGGGTATATAGTACAATAATTTTTCTCTCTCACTCACACACACACACACACACACACACACTCACAGACACACACACACACACACACACACACACACACACACACACACACACACACACACACACACACACAGAGTATGCTGACTGGCTGTTGTCTCTCTGTTTATGCTAGGAGTTGTAATCAGTGAACCTCCTCATCCAGTTGACCACCACACTGGATGAGTCTGATGGGAATTATTGCCTAGCAGTAACTTGTGGGGGGAGGAGGGTCAGAGGTTTCCAATTCCTAATTTAAGCTATCCTCGTTATTGTCATATTCCACAAAATCTGTGTATGTGGTTCTGGTGTGCCTCGAAACAAAGCATAAGTAGTGTGATGATGTTTTTAAAAAACTTATTTGAAATTCTACTTAGAATTTTAGCATTAAGTCATATATTTCAGTTAACTACTCTGATCAAAGATAATTTTTTCAAAAAGTTAGTCTATGTCATCTATTCAACCACAGAAAGCACTGTATGGGAAACTGGATTATTGCTATTCATGTGCAAATATTGGCACAAAGACAGATCAACCATTCTTCAAATAGTGGATGACAAGTTGAGCTTTATTTATTTACCAGTTCCTGACTTAAAGTAGGTCATGTGATCAGCACATCCTACAGTATTCATGTACATTTTGTTTATTTATTTACTGAAAGGATTTATACCCTGATTTAGCAGCTGACAACCTTTTAAACCTATAAACAATATAATATAAACAGAAAGCTTTAAACAGAAGACTGCAAAAACACAATGAGATAACAGAGAGGTTTTTGAAAAATAAAATAACTGCTTTTCTGTAAAGATCTTTTTTTACAGCTCACCTAAAAACGTTAAGACTTCCAGTGTTAATATGGAAGCTAAACTAAGACTTGTCACTTTTTTTTATCATTATCTGCATTTTTATTGTATCGAGTTACAATATTAATATACTAAGAATATTGATATCAAGAATTAGAAAGCTGTTTCGTAACTTAGCTTTCTAAGAAAGCTGTTTTGTCAGTATGTGACTGAGAAGCAAGGTACAGGAAATATTTAGTAGTGCGTTTGAATATGTATATGTAGGCATGATGGTGCATTTACCAGAAATGATGTAATTTGATGTATTGCTGACAGACTGAGCAGTCCTTGTTCTTCTGTGTCATAGAAACCATGATCTGTACTTGATGTGTTTGCAGAATCATTGTAATAATTTATTTGATCCTGTAATTCATGAGGAAACATTCACGGAGATAGCCCATGGCTAATGCTTGGATTATTGCATTAGAAAGTTATGGATGTTGTCTTTCAAGAGAAAGCAAGACACAGGTGTTCATTTCCCCATTTATGTTTGTTCCACAGCATTTACAAAGTGCTTCACCACTGTGGTAAAAAAAATTGACCTAATAAACTATAGCTACATTAACAGAGAAACTGATCTGATAAATTATTTATTCCTTTCATCGGATATAGATGAGGGATATAATGTATGTCCACAGGTGTTTTTGTTCCTAATGGTTAAATGTTTTCTGCAGATTAATGTAAGTTGATGAACTGCTGTTTGGGACTGTGTTTTATATTGCCCTGACAATCAAAGTTCAAAGTCATTTAAGATTAAGAACAATATACATGACAGTAGTGTTCCCAGACAAGATGGAAAATTCTCCTTTGGGGTTCTTCTAGCATGAAGCACTGCAATATTCTAAAAATATACTCCTCAGTGAAATTAATTTCAAGGATGTCACTGTCCACAAAATCTGACCTAAGACACTTCCAGGATTTTCAGTTTTCATATGATTGTCACTCTGAGTCCCTTTCACCCTTAAGGTAAGGTGATCATAGTTCTTGTGGATGGATTGGCAGCATCAGCATGATGTAATAACTGTTGCATCCTTAATGCATCCTTAATGAAGTTATTTCTCATAACTGGAGGCTGGAGATCCATAGATTTTTCATGCACACACACACACACAAAAGGTTAAAGAATGCCACTTGCCCAGATCACCCTTTTGGCATTTGGGAAACTTATTCACAAGATGAGGCTTTTCAGTTCCAACCTTTTAATGCTTAATAGAATGCTTAGTAATTTGGTTGCTCCTCTGAGCACTGTGGAAGGGGCAGAAGAACTGCTGTGCAAATAATTCATGATGTTTGACAAAGAAACAGTGTTGGCATTTGGTTTTTTTCTTTTTTCTTTAGAGCAGGATCCACATTTCTGATACAATGGGAGCTTTTAGTAACTATACAGGTGGTTTGTGGCATTTTATAGATTCAGCCATTTGTTTGCCACCTCAAGCTATAAACATAACATTGTGCCAGGAGCACTGAGGCAATAAAGTAAATTATAGCTTTTCTTAATCTAGGTAATCACCTACACCTTCAGTGCCTTCAATGTTATAGACAAATATTGGCAGAAGACTGTCTGCTTTATCACTGATAAGAAATTAGTTCAGTTGTGTGTTTGAGTGTTCAGCTTACAATACAAGATCCACTTCAATTGCCCACTTTCTTGAAGGTGACAATTATTTGGAAAACCAGGTCCATGCTTTGATCTTCCAAGAAAATTTGTTCAGGATATCTCAGACCTCTGATGGGTTGCTTACAAAAACAGTCACCTCTGTTAGGCAGAAGATTCAGTAGCAGTGGAGACTGGAATGGAATCCCAGTATGCAGTTGGAAGTGTACTAGTACTTTTTGGCACAGAAGCAGGTGATAACCATAGCCTGTGGGGTTGGGGATATTCAACACTGAGAAATAAAATACAGTGGACCCTTGACTTACGGAATTCATCCATATTGGAATGGTGGCTGCAGGTCAAAAAGTCTGTAGGTCAAGTCTCCATTGACCTACAGTGCATTGAAAACCGATTAATCCCGTAACAGGCCGTTTTTGTTCCATTTTGGTTTTTTTCTGGTCTGTAAGTCAATTCTCAGGCTGCAAGTCAAACCTAAATGTTGCGGCCAGAGAAGTCTGTAACTCAAAAAGTCTGTAAGTCAAGTCGTCTGTAAGTCAAGGGTCCACTGTACTAGCAATGAAATAAACTCTTGGGGCAGTGGTTCCAAACCGTGGGTAACACACGTGCTCTTGGACTGCAGATCTCAGAAACCCTGGCCAGCATAGCTAGTGGTGAAGTCTTCTGGGAGTTGCAGTCCAAGAACACCTGGGTTCATTTGAAGCTGGGAACTACTGTTTTAGGAAATTGGTTTGTATATTTTAATTAATCCGGATGGGGTGGGTGGATTGAAAACAGTTTTCTCACCACAGAATATGCCATACCATAGTTCATGGGGGAACTTCCATGCTTTCTCATGTTGGCACCAACGTTGCTTTTTTCAGACTGCTGGTACTGAACAGATCCAAGTCCCCAATAAAGATAGAATATAGAAATCATCAAGTATGTTTCTTAAGTAACATGACCCTTCCAAAGGCTGTCAGGTATCCCATATTTAGAAGTAGCTATATTAATGCCAGCAGCTGTAATGAAAAACAGATCCAGGAATCAAATATTGCAGGCTTCAAGAGCCTGTAAGTGACCACTGGAATTCTGTTGCAAGCTAAGATTTCAAAGTGCATTCTTTGCTTGTTGCAAAATCCCAGCTATTCTTACAGTATCACTGAATCTGTAGTTAGTCATTCAATTCTAAAATTAAAGTTTGCCCCATATCCACTCCTCAGAGTCCCTGTCACACAAGCATTGTAACTGCTCAATCATGTAACTAATAGACAAATGTGTAAACAGGGCAAGGAGAGGGAAGAAAGAAGGAAACTACCCTTTTAAATAAAAGGCGAAAATGTGGTAAATATGGTAAGTAATATGCCAAGGACTTTTTAAAGGCTTTCCAAACAGCTTTTCTAATCAAACTTCAATCTGATTTTAAAACTCTTTGCGTGAATGCCTGTATGGTTGGGTCTATGGGTGCATGTGTTAACCCCAATGGTTCAATCCCAGCTGAACTTTGTTTCTTACAAACTTGCCTTTTGCTGCACTTCCAAATCTGTGGGCCTGCTTTTTAAATCTGAAACATCAGGGTATAGAATTTATTGTAATGACTAATTTCAGGTCATTGGCTTCCAGTTCTTGACTCTAAAATATATTACTTCTTCTGATTATCTGCAGCTTTCCATTTCATACAATGAATCATGTCTAATCTATAAAGTCAAAATGCTACACTGATATTGTGGGCTCAAATGAAATGGGTCAAGATTTATTACTTAACAACATGCCTGATATTTTTTGTGGGGGAAACCACCAGAATTGGAAAGTAGGTTTGCTTCTGGGAATTTAAAATTGGAAGCATAAATAGATATCCTCTGTTGTTCTTCCAGGGATCACCAGTCTGCTTGCCAATGGCGTTTACACTGCTGCATATCCCTTGCATGATGTAAGTGGTCTTGGAATATATTTTATGTTTCTACACACTGATACCAAGAATCTGTAATGTGTTAGGTATGAATGGCACTGTCCTAAACATCTTTTCATAAGCTCAGTGTCCTCCTCTACTTGTATATTGGATTTTAGCAATTGCTTCAATAACACACCTGCCAACTTTTTATGGGTGTTACAACACAAAGAATAACTTCCTTGTTTTATATAAAATAGAGCTGTAAAAATGACTCAGCAGATGACCAGCTCAGCAAATAATCATGCTCTTGACCTTCTGCTGTCAAGGACACTGGGAAAGTTAGGATACATATTTAGACCTGTGGCACAATCCAGCACCATCGAGCTGATTGCCTGATCTAAATCTCCTAGACATCCACCAAACAAAAACAATGTGTGTTCTTGGTGGTGTGGAGAGTTTCCATTGGAAAGATGGATTAGTTATATATTTTAGTTGCTTACAGCCTGTAATACAGTTATATGTTAAGTCATATTTATATTTATGCTATTATGACCAGCTTGTTGGCACTTTATATTTATTGCAAACTATCCAAAGGCTGCACTAATCGAATTCCACACAGTGAACATAAATCTCAGAGCTTGGAAATGCTGGCTCGGAACTGTAGTCCCCCCAAAAGTAACTTCTCCAAGCTTCCATTTATCTTGGTGTGGAAAATTGTTCTTGTACCTATTTTGGTGCTCTGGTTTTTTTGTTTTGTTTTTTGCTATTTCCCTCCACGTTGGTCTACCAATTCATCTTAAGACACCTCACCTGCGGCAAAGTAATCACAAGGAACAAGTAGCACTTTAAAAGATTACATGAAATTACTGATGCAGAAAATTTCACAGGCAGCAACCTGCTTTATATCAGACGTATGATGAATTAGGCTCCCACGTGCCAAAAAAAAAAAAAAGTGCTGCATGATGTATGGAGTTACTGCAAGCTTACACTTGCTAATCAAAAGATTAAATCATGAAAAACTCTGAACTGTGTTTTCTTAAGTAGTTCTGAACCCGTGTCATTACCAGCACTCTGTAGGAACACTCAGGCTCAAGTAATACACAAAACATTGACTGTGTATCAATATTTCTTCAGTGTTTTCTTCTTTTTTTCCAAAGCAGCCACCCAAGCTGCAATCTCTAGTGGGAGATGCATGCCAAAGGCATGCATGAAATTTGCATCTTGTCATCAGAACGGAAGGCTGGCTATTCAAATACAAGGCTGGTGCACTAGTTTTGTGATCCTCTTTGTTTTCTTCCATTACAACATTTAGTGTTACTATGTACCTCAGCTTCAGTTTCTGCTCATTTACCTGAGCTGACTTAGGCATTGTTTGCTGCATTGGAATTACTATCTTACTTTACCAAAACTAGTTTTTGGATCTATTTCCTTGTATGCCACACATAAATCATAGGTAAGATCCACCAACAGCAGAGGATCTTACATAAAGTGCATCATTCCACTCTTTTGGAATCCTCCCTGTTCACACAACTTATTCCATTCAGCCAAGTGCTTTGTGTTGCTTGGTGCTTGGTGCCTTGTGTTGCATTTTTAGATGGCTCGAAGGTGTGCCAAGAGGTACGTAGCAGGAGGTTCCTTTCCACCTTTGCAAGTGTTGCATTTTTAGATGGCTCGAAGGTGTTCCTTTCCACCTTTGCAGTTGCACAAAGCTCAGTAGATTCGATATCTGGCTGTGGAGCCAAGAGGTTAAAGGTTTGACTCCCTATTGTGCCTCCTTAATCCATAAGTCCCTTCCAGTTCTGCAGTTCTAAGATGATGATGATGATGATAATGATGATTAACTCAGAATTCAACCCTCGATGCTTGCCAGCTTTGAGTGGCTCATTATATAATAAGAGTTTCTTTCTTTTTTTCTTAAGGGTGATTATGAAGGTGAACACGTTGAACCCAATGACAGAAAAGTAAGTAGATGCAGTGGGACTCAACAGGTTCTCAAGAGAGCCAGCTTCAAGAATCTACTGTTGGGATGCGGATGCCTGCCAGGATTTCACAGAAGGGCAATCAGTGCCATTCAGAAGTGTTGTTTTTAAATGTTACACCCAGTGTACCAGAAAAATAAGATAGAGATCCATGGCAACTCTTGGATCAGCCGCACTACTCAATGAATAGTCAACGTGGCAAGGAGAGGGAGCAATGTTCTGACAAGATCCTCCAGCTTTAGAGAATGAGGGAGCTGAGGAAAGACTGGTAACAGTCTGAAGGTCTGACAGTTTGTTTTATGCACTATGCAAACACATTTCCAAGCATGCTGCAGAAGGGTGTAATTCCTGTGCTGACTTCCTCAGAAGGAAATATTGGGTTTGCTTGGAATGAATATTCCATGGGTATTATTGGGAACTGTGGTGGAGGAAGAGAAGGGAGGGGATTTGGCACTACCAGCAGACACAACCAAGGAGCGTGGATGTTTCTGAGTATGAAACAGAAGCAGAATATAGTCATACTTTCTGAATAGCTGGAATGAACATCACATTACAGCAACACAAGTTTAGATAAATTTGAAGTATTGTTTATACAGAAAAACACTACTGAATGATGAGAAACTAAGTTTCCAATTAGTTTTTTATTTATTTACTGAGTTTGTGTAACCCTCACTCTTGCACATGATCTGTGAAACTATTTCTTATTATTCTGAGAAACTCCTGTATAAAGGGACAAAGTCTCTTAGAAGCTGAAGGCTTTCACAATAAAAAGAGAATCATAGAATATTGATCATGTATTCGGGAACCTTTTTAAAAAAAAGTTTGGGGGTAGGGATCAGGGGACCCAAAGTTGCTTGGAGATGAGTTTATCTTGGCTCCTCAGGGGATAGCATGCAACCCACAGGTGACATGTGCTTATTCTGATATAAATATATCCCAGAATAGTGCCACCCAACTGCTGCTTTGCAGATGGGTACCCAGGCTGGATGGATGATGATGAAATCTAACCCACAATGGCTAGAGGTCACCAATTTGCAGTGTTTTGTGGAAGTGTTTGGTGGAAGCGCATAATGATTGATGTTAGGATCAATGTCTCTTCGGAATATTTAAAAACCTTGGCTATGCTCCAACTAACTAGAATAAGCCAAAACCAATTTTCATAATTTGAAGAGGGTGCTGAAGAAGACAGACATCCAGAGGAAATGCTCATCCAGAAACAGCCATTGTGAATACTTACACCACCCAACAACTCAGCCACATTACAATCAGGTTATTTTCCTGCATTTGGACTCTGCAACAAGAAGAATCACTCTAAAATATATATAATCTATCTTATTTTGTCAAAGTTAGATTTCTCAGAAATCGTACAGGTTTATATGACCAAGAGTCTTTAATTTTGTTTGGATAGCTTCTTGGTTCATGGCAAAGTAGAATCAATAAAAATAAAGTGAGACTTATGTTCTTAGCTCCAATGTGCTTTTTGCACAAAGGGGCATAATATTAATTCAGTATCTGCAAACCAGTTTCCCCTGGCTCAGCCATGCTAATAACTGAAAAGAGCATGCATCCTCCAAATCTCTTCAAAGCCTTTCCAATATCTGTGTTGCTGCAAATCATATCAAGTTCTAACTTGTCTCTTTCAACCCTTTATGTCTGCCTATTAATTCTCTTTGAGATGAATACAAGGATTTGTCAGGAAGCCAAACCATCAAACGTGTCTAGCACTTAATGCAAATTCTAGATCTTGGTGGACTGGGAATATTAAAGCTATAGGATGGTGACATCAGAGGACAACATGAGCTCTCAATTGGAGTGGAAGAAAGGAATTGCTTGTTTGTGGTTTTTACTTCCATTGTAAACCTCTTTTACAGCTCCTGTGTGAGGAATGGGCAAGCTATGGAGTCTTCTATAAGTACCAACCAATTGATCTAGTAAGGTAAGAACAATATGAAACTTAATTTAGTAGTAGTGTTTAATTTGCATGATAAACACAGGAGTTTACAATTTTTCTTCACTGTGCTCTTTGCACAGAGTTACAACTAGTAACCTTTAGTCTAGATGGGTGGGATAGAAATCAAATCAAATCAAATCAAATCAAATCAATCAATCAGTCAATCAATCAATCAATCAATAATTGTAGTGCACAATATTTTCTTATTTTGTATTCTTTTGACTACGGAAGGTGGTGGTTTAGAAGACAAGACACTAGGAATTTTGGATTCAAATTAAAGAAAATACAAGGAAGAACTCATTCAGGAGGAAAGTCAAGATTGGGGATTCATCAGTCAGTCAATCAATCAATCAATAATTGTTGTGCACAATATTTTCTTATTTTGTATTCCTTTGACTACGGAAGGTGGTGGTTTAGAAGACAAGACACTAGGAATTTTGGATTCAAATTAAAGAAAATACAAGGAAGAACTCATTCAGGAGGAAAGTCAAGATTGGGGATTCTGTTGGTGTACCGCCCACCCTGCTGCATACCAACAGTCTCCCTGCCTGAGCTGACAGAGGTAGACTCAGACCTGGTGTTGTGGACTCCCAGGCTGTTGGTGCTGGGGGACCTCAACATCCATGCCAAGCTTGTTTTGACTGGGGTAGCTCAGGACTTCATGGTCACCATGACAACCATGGGACTGTCTCAATGTGTCATCGGCCCGATGCATGAAAAGGGCCATACTTTGGACCTAGCTTTCTCAATGGGACTGGAAGATGGTGGTTTGGATGTGGAGGGGCTGGTTGTGACCCCATTGTCATGGTCAGACCACTTCCTGGTCAATTTTAGTCTATTAGCTTATTCTCTCTATGGCAAGGGTGAGGTATCTATTAAAATTATCCGCCCTCAGAGACTAATGGATCTGGATAGTTTGAATGCTCTGGTGGATTATCCATCTGATATGGCCAGCACTCCTGTTGAAGCTCTCTATGTAATAGGGAGATGACCCAGACGGTTGACACAATTGTGCCTAAGTGCCCTCTCCCTGCGTACAGAGCCCAGACAGCTCCTTGATATACATCTGAACTGTGGGTGATGAAGTGAGATGGGAGACAGCTGAAACACAGGAGGAGGAAATCCCCCTGGGAGTCCAGTCGAAGACAACTTAGAGCCCATTATCAGGCCTATTAAGTGGTAATACAGCAGGCGAAATGGCAATATTTGCCATCCGTATTGCTTCCTCAGAATGTCATCCAGCAGAGCTATTTTGGGTGGTCCGGGATCTTCTTCAACCAGAAAATCCGGTGGAGTCCTGGACCACTCATCAGCTCACTGTGATGAGTTTGCCATTTATTTTGAGGGAAAATAGCTCAGATTCACAGTGGGTTTGATTCCACCATTAGTGCAGAGTCAGAGGATGTGTCCAGTGTGCCATGCTTAGGTCAAGAATTAATGGATGAGTTTGAATTATTGAGACCTGAGGGTGTGGACAGGGTGCTTGGATCTGTCTGTTCTATCACTACTCCACTCAATCCTTGTCCATCTTGGCTAATTGGAAGTTCTGACGGAGGGGGTCGCACTTGGGTCCAGGAGGCCATGAACACCTCTTTGAGAGACAGAGTAACCCTACTGCCTTGAAAGAGGTGGTTATTTGGCCACTCCTTAAAAAGTCTAACCTGAACCCAGAGACCGACCAGTGGCGAACCTCCCTTATTTGGGCAAGGTGTTGGAGCGGGTTGTGGCCAGGCAACTCCAGGTACTGATGGACAAAATGGGTTTTCTGGATCCATTTCAACTTGGTTTAAGGCCAGGCTTTGGTACAGGGGATTGCCTTGGTCGCCCTGTACAATGACCTTTGCCGGGAGAGAGACAGGGGGAGTGTGACCCTGTTGATACTCCTGGACCTCTCAGCAGCTTTCGACAATATTGACCATGGTGTCCTTCTGGATAGGCTGGCTGGGTTGGGAATCTGGGGCACTGTTTTACAGTATTTCCACTCCTTCCTGGCTGACCATGTCCAGGTGGTGGTGCTGGGGGACAGCTGCTCTGCCCTGTGGCGTTTATGTCATGGAGTTCCTCAGGGCTCAATACTGTCTCCCATGCTGTTTAACATCTACATCAGGGGTCTCAAGCTCAATTTACCTGGGGGCCGCTGGAGGCAGAGTCTGGGGGAGGCTGGGCCGCATCAGATTTTCCGCCAAGCCGAGCAAGAGCCCAGGGAAGCCGCCCAGGAATTTCTTTAGCCCGGCTGGGGCTCTGAGGAGGAGGAGGGGCACGTGAGCTCTCATCACCAGCCACAAACCCCTCCGGCTCCTTCTTCACTACCACCACCAGCAACAGGACGAAGAAGCGGAGAAGGGAGAGAACGGCAGCAACTGCCTAGCGGGGGGGGGAGGGGAGTCACGACATAAAATAAAAAAACCCTCACAGAATTCACCTTGCCAAAGGATAAAAGCCCCCACCAGTACCCACAAAATTAAATAGAATGGGGCAGGGATCCCACAGGTGCATGCGTGTGTGCACGTGCATGCACACACACACACACACACACACACACACACACACACACACACATACACACGAAGGTCTAGCTATCTTCCTCTGAGGGCCCCCTCAAAAAAAGGCACATTCAGCAGCGGCAGCTACCCCCACCATGACAGAGGAGCAACCTTTGCGAGCCCAGGCAGCCTCCAGAGCCAAGGCAGCTGAAGCAGGACGAGGAGGAGGAGGAGGCACCGCCAGGTGCTGAGGCGGCCGCTGACTGGGCTGGTGCTGGGGGTGCCGAGAGAGAAAGAGAGCCGTTTCCCTGGAAGAGGCGGTGGCGGCGGTGGTAGCTGCTGTTGGCGGCACTGTTGGAGACATTCTTCGAGGACAGGCTGGGAGCAAACTCCGCTCTCAGACATCACTTGGCGGCGGCTTGGGCACTCGGGGAAAAAGGCCGGCAGCGTGCCTCGATCGCTGGCTCTCCCCCAAGACAGAGCCTCTTGCACCCTCCATCCAGAACTGCAGCC